GGTGTCATCGACTCACCCGAAGGAAAGTGCTCCACTGGCAGGGCATGCTGAGGTGGAAATGGGCAAGTGGGTATAAAAATGAGAATAAACACAGAAAAGGGGGATATGTGCATCTTTTCGATTTAAACACAAAACAATTTGAGGCAGTTCTGAAAATAATACACTTTTTTTCAAGACTAAATTAAAGGCATTTACAGAAGATAAAAGATTCACTAAGGATTAGAAGTCTCCGGAATGTTCCTACCAACTTTCAGCTAATTGTTTTTATCTGCTCATATCTCAGCTTCCTGTTGAGCTGAAGGTGGAGGAGGGCTCCTAGCTCTCTGTTTCAACAGCTAGCCATCTTTATTTTCTTATAAACTGGGCTTTTATGTGATGTCATGTTCCGACAGTGGGCCTAGTGCTCCACTGCCGGATTGAAACTGTAGAGACCTTGAAACTGACAAACAAGGGTCGCTCACTGCTGTACTCCTCAAAACCCTGCAGCCTTCCAGTGTCAGAGCCATTAGAGCCTAGACACTGAGAGCTCTTTAGTAATGTGGGTAGCTGTCATAGGATTGGGGGAAAAATTACATGAAATTACCACATACAATTAGTCAGCAAGACACTTAGCCTTTATTAATCAAAGCAGTAAGCTATCTTCAACTAAGAAATTTATTGTAAGGCTGGACCTCTAGCTCAGTGCTTGCCCAGCATGCTTAAGGCCATGCATGGGCTTAATCTCTGCTACAGCACAAAAAAGAAATCAATCCTGTCTCCAAAGGCTATAAAGCACTCCTTACACTGTCAGAAGTTCCTTCCACTCAATAATCCTAGGGCCTGGCTATCAAATATGCACTTGGTGTAGACACCTAAGTAACAGCATCGGCAATGCTCTCCAAAAGCTTGTTGTCTCCCACTAATGTTAAGGCAGGTAAACTTGAAGTTATTTTGGAAAGACAAAACATGAGTGAATGCCCATGACCATGATGTAGTTTAAAATAACAAGGTAAGGGCTGCATAAGTGGCTTAGCGGTTAACAGCACTGACTGCTTTTCCAGAGGTCCTTAGTTCAATTCCCAGCAAAAACATGGTGACTCACAACCATCTGTAATGGAATCTGATGTCCTTTTCTGGTGTGTCTGAAGACAGCTACAGTGTATTCATATACACAAAATAAATAAATCTTAAAAAAAAAAAAAAGGAAAAAGATAGCGAGGTAAGACAGATATGTGTGGTGTTTCCCACCTGATACTCTCTGGAGGCAAGGCAGAGGCACTGCATCTTGCACAAGCCTATCAAGGAGCAGGTGGATTCAACAATCCTGGGGGGCAGGGGACTATTTTAAGAGTAGCAGTAGGTACTTCTTAGGACCTTACAGTTTTTAAGAGGCAACAACCCAGACTTAGGTCTTAATTGTAGGGAGACTAAGAAGATAGTAAGGCTGTTTCTGCCAGGGCTGGTGCCCTGCAGCAATCCTATGAGGTAGTCACCATCCCCATTTTACAGATGAGGAAAACTCTGGCTCTGTAATGCAGGCAGCCTGTCCCTGCTCACTCTTCTGTAAGTTCCCCAGCTGTCTGAATCCACAGCCCACGCATCAGTCACCTCCCTACTGGTTCTCAATCTGGGTATCTCGGGGAAGGAGAGAATCTCTGTACCAATGGAGAGGAACAGTCCTATGTAGATACATTGTGTCTGCTTTATGTGAAGGAGCTTGAGAGACAGGGTCGCTTGTAGCCAAGGCTGGTCTTCAACTTCAACTGGCTACGTAGCCAGGAATAATCTAGAACTTGTGATCCTCCTCCTCCCACCTCTCTAGAGCTGGGATTACAGGTGCGTATCACCTCATCCAGTTTATGCCATCGTTACGTCTTGGCTAAGCCTATCAACGGTTTGTGTGAAGAAGGCAAGGACATCACCAAACAATCCCTCCCCCTTTTTTGAGCAGAGGAAACAAACATTTATTAAGGAAAGGTGACAAAGAACTCAAAAATTCCTCCAAGGAGGAATACCCACAACTTAATTTTTTAAATGATGTCATAAAAGTTTAAACTATTTATATTTTATGAGGAGTCCTGTTACTATAGTCACATGACTTTAGGTCAGTGGTTCTCAACCTTCCTAATGCTGTGACCCTTTAATATAGTTCCTCATGCTGTGGTGACCCCCAACCATAACACTATTTTGTTGCTACTTTGTAACTGTGATTTTGCTACTGTTATGAATTGTGTCTCAACAGTCTTAGGTGACCCCTGTGAAAGGGTGTGTGATATCCCTGCCCAGAGGTTGTTACCCACAGGTTGACAACCCTTGCTTTAGCTTCATCCCCCCTCCCACAAACATGAAACTGGAATTGTCTCAAAATTTCTTATACCTGTGCAAGACAGACATTTTTTTTAATAGGCTCTCTTGGCAACTAATAAATTTCATCTTTGTTTTGTTTTTTTGCTTTGTTTTTTTTTTTTTTCTTTTCGAGAGACAGAGTCTCTCTGTATAACCTTAGCTGTCCTGGAACTCCCTCGGTAGATCAGGCAAGCTTCGAACTCATAGATTCACTTATCTCTGCTTCCCAAGAGCTGGAATTAAAGGCATGGACCACCACTACTAGGCTAAAGTCCATCTTTTTAGGTTATATAGACCACGTGAGTGATTTTCAAACATAATATGACTTGTCTTAGAAAATCTGTGATATCCAATTTTTAGCCAAGAATACTTTTAAAGTTTCAAAACAAGCTACATATCATGAATTAGTTTTGTAACAATGTTTAAAATACAATTATTTCTACATTGTACTTTCTTAACCTGGCAATATCAACAACTTTTACCTTGAATAGAAGTGAAACAGGTACATTTTCCACACTGCCAAATGCTGCAATTACTGACAAGGTAAAAGCAGCCCCAGGCAGCATGATGGTGTACGCCTTCAAACCCTGCACTTGGGAGGCAGATCTGTGAGTTCAAGGACAACCTGGTCAACAAGAGTTCTAGGATAGACAGAGATACGTAGAGTCACCCTGTTTCAAACACAAACAAACAAACAACAAAAATCCCAGCCTTACTGTTCTAATTAAATTCTAACACGAGGCAAGCAAAACTACCCAGGCAATTTTAATACATTCATCCAACAACAAAAAAAACCCTCAACTTGTTCCCTCTCCCTCTTATCTGAGACTGAGAATAAAAACATCCAACACAGAAGCAATAAAAGACCAAAGCAGACATCCAAATGCAAAGTGAAATACTGTACACACAGTAGTTTTCTTGTGTGCTCATTTAAAATCACAGTTATCTTCATTAATACTTCTTACAGAAAACACTAAGTCCCTTACTTTGTAGACAAATAAGTATTCTTAACAGAAAACAACTTTCTCCCATTGGCACAACAGGGAATAATAAACAAACCCTCTTGGAACACATTATTAGCAAGAGGTTTTGGTTTTATTGTCTTTTTAAAGAGTTCAGGCGTGGTGTAAAAAAAGACTCCTGCTACCATAGCCAGCGATGTGGTCATGGCTGCCAAGCCAGTCTTCTTTCACAGAGGTGGCCACCTACTGAAGGGTTTTGTAGTCGAGGTTCTCCTAAGACACTCTTTGAATTCTAAGTAGTTTGCAGTCTTACACACATTATTATCACCTAAAATCCTGACATGAAAAGAATTCCTAGTGAAAGGCCTTCTGTGGCAGCACAGGCTGATAAACTCTGGCACCTGAGGAGGCTGAGGCAGGAGGATGTGAGGTCCACACTGAGAAAGACCATGTTTCAAAACAAAGGGCAGCTATGATCAGTCCAACAAATTAGAATGGAGAACTGCTACAAAGTAACACCCTTTCCTGAAAATGCATTCACAGTACTTCAAAGAAAGGGACTCCCTGAAATCCCATCCCTTTGCTTCTGAAGCTGGGCTGACAACCAAGTTCCAGGCCAGTCTGTTCCCTCAGCTTATAACCAAGTCCTAGGCTAGTCTGTTTCTCGTTATATTTAAAATGCCATTACACGTAAAAGTGACCAGCTTGTTTTAATCTTTAAAACACAAGCCGGGATTTCATAGGCTCCGCTCACAGGCTTTTTGAGGGGCTATGCTTCTGTGATGACACAGAACACTATTGCTTGGGAACAAAGAATTGCTGACAGTGGAGCCGACAGAAACGGCCACAACTCATCTCCAGCTTGGGAAATAAAGCAGGTAAGGAACCTAGAGACACGTGGTCCTCACGGAGAGTGATTATAAAAGAGCTCTACAGATCTTCTTGTGAGACTCAAAGTGATTTTTAAAGCCACTTTAAAAACACTTCCCAAAACTGTACGGAGAGTTGCCAGGGAGCCGCTGAAGTGACGTGCCATGGGATTTTACGTGCGTGAGTAACTTGTAAGGCTCACTTCTTAGGGCAGGAGGTTGAACTACATGGTCTGTGGTACCTACCCTTCTGATGCACAATCCTCACACACACAGGCTCACCCTTGCACACACGAACAGCGGGTCCTTGCGACACACCAGGTGAGGAACGGGCACCTCATAATTTGCAAATGTCACATAATGAGTACATGTCCTTACAAACGATCACATAGTCATTTATTTCATCTCAAAATATACTGTTAATGATAATGGCTGAGCAGACACTTCAGAAGCCAGCTTCTGGACTCTTGGTAGCCATTTTAGGATTATTAGTAGAGAAAGATTAATACGTCCACTATGGACTCACTAGTCTATAACAAGGAACGTCACTACGTGTTAGACAATAAAGCAAGCGTACCAAAGGATACTTCTAAGTAACTTCAAAGAAGTTATAACCTAAAAGTTTAAAAAAAAAAATCTTGGCCGGGCATGGAGACGTCTTCTGTGATCCTAGCACTTGGGAGGCAGGGCCAGGAGGTCAGGAGTTCAAGGCCAGCCAGGCTACATAGCAAGTTCAAGACCAGCCTGGGCTACATAGCAACACCCTACCTCTAAAAAACCAAAATCAAACCAACAATAATAAAATCTTCCACAGAACTTCTATGATAGAATAATTAAAAACACATGGTCAGCTCAGTGAGTCTGTATTAAAATGAAGTTTCAAAAGAAAATGTTTTTTTTCCCTTTCTACTTCTGACCCTTGAATTTGTACTAGTGTTGAGTTCAAGAGAAAGGACACTAATTGTTTAAAAGAATCACAACTTATACAGAAAATGGAAAACAAACAGTAGACCAGAACTTTCAGGAAAAATACAACATAAGGACTGGTGTGTGGCTCAGTGTGCTGCCCCTGAGCAAGACCCAGGTTCCATTCCCAGCACGGAAGCAAAGCCAAACAGAAAAGCAACAAAAGATATGAGCAGAGTGGGCAACAAGATTATCTTTGGAAAATAGGTATTTTTTTTCTCTACCAAAAATAACAAAATTTATTTCTTCCCAAATCCACTAGCATACCTCCTGATAGTGTGCATTAAAAAACTTCTAAGTTCAGAGATACTGAAATGATGTCTTCCTAAGTGTTTTGGCTAGTTCATGGCCAAGATATGTTTAGTCTCTGGTTGGATGGAATAAAGGAAATAAACAGATAAAACTACCAAGGCTTGACCTGAGATAACCCTGCAAAACTCTGCAATTGGTCTCCTTTCTCCCTCAAAGGGAACAAAATAAAAAAAAAAATCACTAAGTGAACTTCCCACAGTCCAACTCCAGGTGTCCATCGGCAAGGCCTGAGAGCTCTAAACTCCGTGGAATTCAGTAACTGCTGAAGACGGCTGGCTCGGAATCAGGAAGAATATCCAATCTTCAGTGTCAAGAAAGGAGGCAGAGCCAGGGCTTCTAAAACACATACCGACAAGTCCAGGACCGTGGCCGGACATAATCCAGAAATGTAGGCTATGGCAGGAGAAATAAAGAGAAGGACAGTTTAGTTATGCCCACGGTGCGTGTGAATTAGGTATGGGGTAGGTACTGGCTGAACGTTACACACTGACGTCTCTAAGCTACCTCCCAGAACTTCAGTGACCTTTAAGGCATAAGAAACCCCCTAATTCAAAAGACACTGAGACGTTGTCTACTGACAGCACCAACTCAGTCAACCGAGAAGCTTCACCAAGAAGTTTCTCAGTTTCAGTGAACTGCATTCAGCTCCATGGACCACGGATAAAACGGTAAACAGACACTGTCTCTCAGCATCTTGACAGCTTATTTTAGCAAAACTCAGTTTTAGCCTGAAGTCTAGAGGTAAGTCTACAAAATAAAGCATATGCATGTGACTGTTAGTGAACCACTCCAAACTGAAGTACTCTGTCCAAAACAGGAAAAGTGAAACAAACAAACAAAACAAAACCCATAAGGGAGAAAGAAAGAAAGAAAGAAAGAAAGAAAGAAAGAAAGAAAGAAAGAAAGAAAGAAAGAAAGAAAGAAAGAAAAGACTAGACTAGACTAATCCAGGAGCCACAGTCCAGACTCCGTATTGACTGACTTTTAGAAAAGCTTATTACTCCTCCACGACAGAGGTAAAAAATATCCATGTTTCAGAGGCAGGGATGCATGTGTCATTGGGAAAACCCTAGAGAAAGAAAGCCATGGGGAGGCAAGAAAAAAGAAAACCAAGAATCTGCGGCACTGAATGAAGCAAGTGGAAGGAGCAGGCTTTCAAGGAGCACATGGTCAGACTGGGAGGTAAACTGAGGCTTATTTCCGACTCCCTCCTCTCAAGCCACCCTCACTCTCCACTACGGTACTACCCTCTGGAACACCACCCACCCCTTACATCAGGGGTGACGGACACCCCAGCTGGGCTGACACAACTCACATTCTTCAGAGGACAGTGCTGACGAGCATACCACTCTTGAGAATAAAAGCACAGAATGACTCCTTGGCCCAGGAACAGAGAAGCCCATACCATGATGTTCCATATTGGCCTTTTCCGACTGTCGTTAACAATGAAGTTAAAAGCCACTGAAGTTAGAAAGAAAACAAAACAAAAAGCAGTTATCCAGTTGCAGTCCACGGGGGTGAGGGCTCAGATACAGGCTGCGGCTGGCTCCCGGCAGAGAGCTCTCGTGGGCCTCCTTCATCCCACTCACTTCCTCTGCAAGCCAGTGATGCTTAACTACCGAAATGTGTCCGTTATCCCTACCAATTATCACTAATTATTAGGAAACCAACTGTATTGAGACAAAGTGAAAACACATTTCATGGAGTTATTCTTATGGGTTCCTCTCTACACGCTCAATCATGAGCCCGTTCTCAGGAGTTGCACAGTGACAGTGTTTACTACTGGTCCCCAAGGCTACCTAGTTCACATCTCCCTCCAGTGTGCAAACACCTGTAGACAGAGCCGCATACAATTATTGAAAGTCAATATTCTGACCCCTGCTAAACAAACTGCCTTGAAACAGTGTCACCATCCAGCTTTGCTAAAGTGACTTCATAGTTTCCTTCCTGTCTCGATCTTTCCTTTGGAGTAACAGCGGCAGGAACAGCTTGCCATGTCACTTACTTCCAAAGAACATGAAGAGCACAAAGAGCACTGGGTAGAAGTAGCTCAGGCAGACAGCAAGGGCGTATTCATGCACCACAGCCGACAGGGCAAAGACAGCCAACATGGCGGCAGATTTGAACCTCTTTGAGAAAAACTAAGGCACAGAGAAAATATCAGAGTTAGTAACTTAAAAAAAACTAGTACGTACAAACAATATGAGACGTGATTATCACACGCTAAGGGCACCTGCTCATATCTGCTCTTATATTGTATTTGACTTTCCAACCTACTCCTGAGGTTAATCTGAATCTATTAAAATAATTGCAAGAACATGCTCAATGTTCTAGTTTGCATATGAAGTGTCCTGTTTAAAGCCTTGTGTGGTGAGGGCTTGGTTTCCAGGTTGTGGTGCTATTTTGGGAAGTTATAAAAGCATTATTCAGCCAGGTTTCATATACTACAGGCTAGTCTTGAACTCTTGATCTCTCTCCACCTTCCAAGTGCTCACAGAACTACACCAAGCTCAAATTTCAATCATCAGAGGAGTGCTATGTAGAACAGAGCAGGCACCCTTTCCAAAACTAAGATTTAAAAAAACAAGAATTGCCTCAACCCAACATGGGACTTCACTGTGCGAGAGGGAACTCACAGCCTATCACACACCTCCCTCCTTAGGATGCTGTCAGTCACAGAGGTGGATGACACACTTGCTTAACAATGAAAATTGCTTCAGAGACACCTGTGCTAACCAAGGACAGACTATACCTAGTTACTCTAAATACATTATGTTCCAAAGCATGGCTAACATAAATCTGTCTCTGGTTGGAGACATGTAAATTCAAATCTATTTTTAACAAAGAAACCAACCCAAATGAAAGTGGGTGTGGTTCTCAGAGGCAAGAGGATCTCTGCAAACTTCAGGCCTGTCTAGTCTACAAAGGAAGGAAAGAGGGAGGGGAGAGGGAGAGCAAGTGAGGGATGGAGAGAGAGTGTGTGTGTGCATGGAGGTCTGGATAGAGGGAAATTATTTGTGGGCAACGAAATTCTTAAAGGTCCTCAGAAGGTGGGTCACTTCAGCACGCAGACTTCTAAGAACTTGAATTTTGTATCCAGGTAGTGAAGTCCAGAGAAAGGCATGATACTGTCCTAGTAACGTATACAGTGGTTTTCATGATCAGTACCATTCACAACATGGGTTCTTAGATGTAAACTTCCAGGGAAACGAACAAGAAATCTTCTTCACAGGCAATTAAACACAACTTTCTCCTGCTCATCCAGCACTGCCTGTAAAAGAATCCCCATTCCTTTCATGTTTGTTTGTCTGGCTTTTGTTTTGTTTTGAGACAGTTCTTTACTGTGTAAGCTCTGGCTGGCTGCCCTGGAACCTGTGATGTACAGCAGCCTGGCTTTGAACTCACAGATCCACCTGCCTCTGCTTCCCAAGTGCTGGGAGGTGTGTGCCACCATGCAAGACTTTTTGTAATGATTTACTTCTTGTGTTTTTATGTGTACTGCATGCATGTTGGTACATACAGAAGAAGGTATCTGATCCCCTGAAACTATAGGTACATGTGGTTGTAAGCTGCCCAAGGTGAGTTCTGAGAACTGAGCCATCTCCCTAGGCCCCTCAGAATCCCCATGTCCTACTAACACACTACACACTACATCACTAACTAGGTCTTTCTGTTTACCCAGAGGAGGTCCTTGTAAACATAGTAGTAGAGCCAGTCATGGACCACCACATTCCAGGTCCTGTAGTAGTTGGAGTATGACGTAGAGTTCCACCAGTCCTGGGGAGAAAGAAAAGCTGTGAAATCACACACAGAGCAAAACCCCTGGCTGCTTCCAAAGAGTATACATGCCTGATGTAAATAAAGTCTGTAGCACATTATGATAAAAATGTTTGTCCACACACTGGTGCTAAAAATCTCAAAAGGCATGTGGGCAGTTAGTATTAATACTAATGCTACATATACATACACATATACACTCACATACACATACATACATACATACATACATACATACATACATACATACATAGGCTAAGTCTCAGAGTGCATTGTCTTGTTATCAACATGTTATGAGGAAAGATACAGAACACACTATAATTTAAATCTAATGTTTGCCATGACAGAGTCAATAAACTTCCTCTCCATCGTGTTAAACATAAGAGAACTGAGCACACAAGGAAAGAGACTGACTGGGACTACCGTGGCAACATTAAATTATGAGGGAGAAGTGAGATGGGGTCCCAATGTCCCTTTTAAATTTTGGCTCCCAATTTCAAGGTAAGACTATCTAGTATCTATCATATATCTAAAATCTGTCATCCACATTGACTGCCTTTGAGAAGCGGGGGTAGACTTGAAGTCAAAACAACACAACTTGACAAGGCCAGCTTTAGCAGGCTAATACCATTTGAAGCAGAAAAAAAAAAAACACCACAGAAAGTAAAGAAGTGATTTCCCTTGTGAACTGCTCTAGTCATAAGTGACCAACCCACTGAAGCCACTTTAAAGTCAAGTGGCCAATCTGAGATGTGCAGTGATGGTGCTGGCATATCCTCTGACAAGCACTTTCCCACCACAGTCACAGTATGTTACAGGATCCAGCAGACACTATGCTTTTTGTGTAGGTGGGAAGAAGGCAGGCCAAGACTGGGTCTTATTCTAATGCAGCCCAGACTGGCCTAGAACCCATGGTAAGCATCCTGCCTCTGCCTCCTGAGTATGTAACAGCATCTGGATTATGTTAATTACCTGTATCAGAATCTCAGATTTAACATTGGTAAAACTCATAGAAAAGAAAAGTATCTTACAGGATTTGTGTCAAAAAGCTGGTGATAGTTGTCAACAAAACTCAGTGCTTAACAATAAGCAAGTAAAATGGACCGTGAGGGCCGGGAGGATAGCTCAGGGCTTGCTGCCAAGCCTGACAGCCTGAGTTCCATCTCTTGGACACACAGGAACTCTGTGCTACATGTGTGTGCCCACTCCCCAGCCCAATAGTTATTTTAATTTATTAGAAATGGCAGGCATAGTGGCACATGCCTTTAATCGCAGCACGGGGGAGGCAGAGGCAGGTGGATCTCTGTGGGGTCTACATAGTGAGTTCTAGGACAGCCACAACTACATAGAGAAATATATATGTTTCAACTTTACACACACACACACACACACACACACACACACACACACACACACAAAGTATATATACTATATAATGTATACAATACCTTATAAAACATCCTGTCACCAAAGCGTAACATTTCAGCAAAGGCATTGAGCCAGCAGTGCAAAAAGGCAAAGAACGAAAGGAACAGCATCAGCACACCTGAAACCAGAGTGACAATGTGAAGCCTTTCCAAGCAGCCTGTGTAGCCAGCCGTCATAAACACGACAGCGTGTGTTTAGCTGGGCTGCTGCCAGGAAGCCTGCCAGGATTCCAGCTCACCCAACACAGAGGTGATACAGTGCACCTTGGAAAGCTAGGTTATTATTCTTTTACTTTAAAAAAATTATTTCTATGTAATTTTAAAGGTAAATAGATGGCTCTAGCCTGGTTTAAAGAAATGCCCGGACATGCAGATGAATGTGGTGCCCAAATCCTTTACCTCTGCCCTGTGTGCTGTGAACACCATCTACAATGGGACTTCTGCCATTCCAAGGTGCCCAAGGCTTTTCTATCTGTCCTTCTGTCTTGAAACCTTTGCACCACTTTTCTACAGGCAATATTTTGTAATTAAGAATTTTTTTTTAGTTGGGCATATTTTCCAATGCCAAGTGTTAAATGTCATCTTTGACATGAGAAACAAAACCCACAGTCATCCTTTCTATACAGCACGTATCATATCCCTCAGTACTGTAAAATACCCGCTGCAGGCACACACACTTCATTCACTTGTTCAGAAAGAAGAATTTGCTGGACAATACAGGATAAACTGAAAGTGGCTTTAAAATATGGTCCTTGGAGCTGGAAAGATGGCTCAGTAGTTAAGAGCATGGACTGCTCTTCCAGAGGTCCCAGCACCCACATGATAACTCACAGCTGTCTGTGACTTCCAGTTCCAGAGCACTGGACACCCTCTTCTGGCCTCTGCAACCACTGCAAGCACATGGTGCACATACATTCAGGCAAACACTAATATACATAATATAAAAATAAATTTAAAAAAAATCTTAAAATATGATCCTTAATCCCACGGAGTTTACAGTCACATGAGTTAGGTCATCCAGGGAGCTGTCCCTGTTATAGGAACAATAGATGACAACAGACAATGCTAAAACTTAGCAAGTGGAGACAAGATGGCTAAGTCGAGTACGCTCCCTGAAGTGAAGGCTGTCTGCATCATCCGCACCTGCATCCGCAGCACTGGCACACATGCAGCACTGGCACACAGTAGGAACTTGCGTGTGACCAGGAAAAAGTACACTGAGTGCATGAAGCTAAAAGACAAAGTCTGGCGAAAAGCAGACAGGTAAGAAATGGTAGCAAGTTAAGACTTCAAAAGATGTGGCCAGAGCATCCTGTGTCCTCTGGAGAGTGATCCCTAAGCCACATCAGGAGGAGGTCACCAATGACCTTATGGGGTATTTGATGGTGAGATTGAGAAGTTATAGAGAACTGAATAGAAAGAGGAAGACAGACATAAATGTGGACTTCCCACCATTGGAGGAAGCAGACTTAAGCAAGAATTGAAACCAGAAAGGCATTTTACTTGTAGAGCAGATGGAGAACTGGTGGGCGGGTATGTGTACAGCTGAGTTCACAGGAAAGCCAGGGAACTAAAGGTCCTGACAGACAGCAGCTTCCTGCTTTCTTCCTGACTATCTATATGGATGGACAAACTGATGAGCACCCAGGTTACCTGGCAAGATGGAGTTAAATACACACAGGACCAGGACACGAGCACTGAAGGGCTCCTGTTTAATATTCCGGAACAGTGGGGCGCAGAGTCTCTCAAAGATGTAGTACACATAAAACAGGCAACCAAAAACCTGGAACACAGAGCAAAGAAACCATGGCATCTCGGCAAAGAAAGAGAGCGGGTATGGCTTCCTCCTAAAGAAATACATGTATGACTAATGTTTACACATATCCATTTAACCCCGGTATATAGACAGCCACAGCCCTTCAGAGAGGGTATTCAGTCTTCATATCTAGCATGGTTCTTCTTATCATTTTACTGACACTGTGTCTTGCTGTGTAGCCCAGGCTGGCTTCAAACTCAATAATATCCCTGCCTCAGCAGCCTGAGCACTGGGATTACAGACATGTGTCACCACACCTGGCCCAAATGGCATTTTTAGACAATTATCAAAGAACCTGTTTATGAAGTCTAGAATAAGAGAACTCATTTTTACAACTGAGTATTTGACTTAAACAGAATTTGAAATGGGATTTTCTGGGGTTTCTGATTCTCAAAATGAGTGAGGAAGAAATGGGGAGTTCCAAGCAGATCCCACATACACCACCACTACTCAAAAAGGCAAAGGGAAAGCTATCTAGGTTCTTATTGAAATAACCAAACAGAATTACTTAAATTTAAATATTCTTTAATGAAGAAAATGATCTTTGATGCTGGCAAAGCACAGAAAGCATTCTTGAGCTGTTTTTGTTTGTTTGTCGTTTTTTCAGGGGGGTGTTTGCCTTTTTGGGTTTTTTTTTTGTTTTTGTTTTTTGTTGTTTTGTTTTGTTTTGAGACAGGGTCTCACTATACAGTTCTGTTTGATACTAGAACTCAAAGATCCTCCTGTCTCTGCCTCCCAAGTGCTAAAATAAAAGGCATGACCCATCAACCCTGGCTCATTTTAAATAGATTTTTAAAAACAGAGCTAGACTTGATGGCACATGCCTTTAATTAAGCGCTTGGAAGGCAGAGTTAAGAATATTTCTGTGAGTTAAAGGCCAGCCTTGTCTACATAGTGAGTTTTAGGATAGCCAGGCTACATAATAGAGAAATTCTTTGTTTTTGTTTTGTTTTGTTTTGTTTTGTTTTGTTTTTCGAGACAGGGTTTCTCTGTGTAGCCCTGGCTGTCCTGGAACTCACTCTGTAGACCAGGCTGGCCTCAAACTCAGAAATCTGCCTGCCTCTGCTTCCCAAGTGCTGGGACTAAAGGTGTGCACCACCACTGCCCGGTGAGAAATTCTATCTCAAAAATAATTTATAGGGCTGAAGAGATAACCCAGTGGTTCAGAGCACTGGCTGTTCTTCCGGGGGAACAAGGTTCAATTCTCAGCAACCACATGACCGCTCATTCTTGTCTGTAATGCCATGGCTTCTGACACCTCACACAGACATACATGCAGACAAAACTCCAGTGCATATAAAATAAAAATAAATTATATATATATATATATATATATATATATATATATATATATATATATTTTTTTTTTTTTTTTTAAAGAAGCCCATTTGGTTTTGTTGTTGTTATTTTTCTTAAGACAAGGTTTCTTTGTGTAGCACTGGCTGTCCTGGAACTCCATCTATAGACAAGGCTGGTCTTGAACTAAGAGACCTGCCTGCCTCTGCCTCTCAAGTGCTGGGACTAAAGGCATGTGTCACCACCACCTAACAAGAAACCTATTTGTTAAAAAACAAAATAACAATCTAAAATAAAATATACCAATCAATAACACATTAAAAGTTTTTAAAAAGTTACCTGTAAGAACTGCATAGCAACATAACCCCATCTGACTGTAGGAGTCCTGAAAAGAGAGAGAGAGAGAAAAGAAGGTTTTCTAAAAATAAGCAATGAACTCTTTCTGTTTTGTGCTTTTATCTACAATGTAAAGAATCTAACAATGGTTTTCTTCACAGAATATCATTTCTGGGCTAGGAATAGTTTAACAGGGCAGTGTGTCACAAAGCCTTGAATCTGATCTCCAACTCCCCCCCCCAATCATAACAAGATTATATAATTCTATGAAGAATTATTGGGGCTGGAGAGATGGCTCAGTGGTTAAGAGCACCGACTGCTCTTCCAGAGGTCCTGAGTTCAATTCCCAGCAACCACATGGTGGCTCACAACCATCTGTAATGGGGTCTGATGCCCTCTTCTGGTGTGTATGAAACAGCAATAGTGTACTCATATACAATAAATAAACCTGTTTTAAAAAAAAGAATTATTAATTAGCACTGCCCTGCTAGAATGAGCACTTAAGGCATTCAGTTTTCTCTATAGCCCTGTATGGACTGCTTGCCTCCAAAGCTGTCCATCCTCTGTGCCCCACACACCTCCCCATTACACAGTTACCTCGGGTAGTTGTCACGGTAAATAAGTGTAGGAGCAAACAGGAAGTACAGGTACTGGTTGACTGTGGGTACCGGAACTGTGCCTAAAAAAGAAAAACTATTGGACTGCAAGATCTTTGACTTCACCCAGAAAACCAGGAGAGCCAAAGACAGCAACAAGAACAGGGAAGTGCGGAGGATAGTGGTCACGCCTTTAAGCTCAGGCAGATTAAGAATGATTGACAAAGCTGGGTAGTGTGGGCACATCTTTAATTCCAGCACTCTGGAGGCAGAGGTAGATCTGTAATTTAAGATCCAGACAAATCTTAGTTCCAAGGCCAGCCTGGTCCATAGAGTGAGTTCTAGGACAGTGATGGCTACATAGAGAAACCTGTCTCAAAAAAACAAAACACGAAACCCAAGCTAAACAAACAAAAGAACAGAACAGGAAAGACCAGCATGAACTGTTGGCTCCCATTTTTCTTCCTGGTCTACTAAGATGCCTTGTTATTCATGCAATAGTCCAGCACTGCCAATCTCTCTAAGCCATTCCCGTGACTAAGATAAAAATTCCAGAGTGGGAAGCAACGGTTTGCAAAGTAAGCAGACCCAGCGGAACAAGGTTATTAACTCTCCATGGATGCTCAGCTACAGGAGTCTGAGGACAACTGTTCTCATCGTAGATAAAAGGACAAAACGGAACAGTCAGGAAACAGTGAGTCTTCCAAATCAATGTGGACCCCGTGCACTTATATGCAGGACAGTCCCTACAGGACACAACGTCATCCCAGAGCCAGATGACAAGATGTCCCATCCATAACCCGCTAAGGTGACAGTTACATACTTGACTTCTCCTTGGCTGCATTTAGTACTCGTGGCACATTCTCTCTGACAAATGAGTGAGCCTTCATTACCAAACGAATCTGTCAAAGCAGAGGGAAAATAAGTTTCCTATCTCTGTCTCCTATAAGTAACTCCAGAACTACACTGGCTAATAACATTCACACGAAATAACTTAAATTTCCACATACCATCTCAAGTTGGCCTATATAAAGGTAGAAAAAGACCTTCCAAATAAAGACATGAATATTACTGGTTTATTTTTTTTTTTTTTTCTTTTTTTTTTTTTTTTTTTTTTTGGTTTTTCGAGACAGGGTTTCTCTGTATAGTCCTGGCTGTCCTGGAACTCACCCTGTAGACCAGGCTAGCCTCGAACTCAGAAATCCGCCTGCTTCTGCCTCCCAAGTGCTAGGATTAAAGGCGTGCGCCACCACCGCCCGGTTACTGGTTTATTTTTTAAAAAATGGGAAATTAAAAATCTGTTCAAGGGAGCAAGGTGTAATGGTTCACTCCTTTAATCTCAGCATGTGGGAAGCAGGGACAGATGGATCTCTGTAAGTTCCAAGCCAGCCTGGTCTACATAGTAAGTTCTAGGATAGCCAGATCTATATAGAGAGACCCCATCTCAAACAAAACAAAACAAAACAAAACAGTTCAATGTAATGAATTTAAGATCCAGATAACTGAAGTAGAATGAATTTGTTAAAATATCACCCAGTTAAACACTTCAATGCTAAAGCCAGCCATGGTGGAGCATACCTGCAACCCCAGGATTTGTGAGCAGATGGCAGGAAAATAGGACTTAAGTGGTACGCATGTGGTACTGACATACTTATGGACATGTATCCAGCACAGCATCAGTTACTAACAGCATCAGTATCATATCATTACTGTTATGCAGCTAAGCAAGCCGTCTTCCCAGTAACACTCCAATCCTTACCTGCTCCAGTATCACAATGAATCGGGAGGCCGGTGGCAGTGTGTACGCTAAGACAACATATGTCGGCACAAAACCTAAGATTCCAAGTTGAAAGCCTAAGAAGAGTGAGCCATGGACCAGGGAATAGACCAGTGGGTGAGAACTCTCGCTATAACCGTGGGCCCATTGCTGGAACAGGAAATAGGGGATTGACAGTGTAGACAGGAACATGGCCCACCATGTCCAAATAACAATAGAAATTTTGCCAAAAGCATAGGCCACGAGATTGAACTCAAGCACCAGCCTGTGGGAGAGAAAAGAAAAAAAAGTGAATCTTTGCTATGCAATGAATTAACAGAACTCAAAATTCTCTCTCTCCCTGTGTGTCTGTCTCTCTCAGACACTCAGACACACACACACACACAAACACACACACATGTGCATTTGACTTTTGGAAATATTAACACATCAAGGTCATGGGTGTCAGCATGTCACATATGTTCATTATGTCAATGTTATACCAGGTTATTGAGACAACTGAAATGTCCTTCAATGGAGAATGCGAAATAAGAATGTGGTTTATATACATAATGGAATTGTTTTCATTCTAAAGAATGAAGTTATTTACAGGAAACCAGGTGCAATGGGAGAAAATCTTATTAAGGGAATTATGTCAGTCTCAGTTTTCTATCATTTGTGGGTCCTGGTCTTTATAGACACCCAAGATCACGTATGCACAGGTGACATGAAAGCAGGTGCAAACCAGGGCAGAAGAGGATCAAGAGGAGGGAGGAGAGAGGAAGGCAGCCTCTTCCTCTAGGGGAAAATAAGGTCGCTGAATGGCATACACCTGCACAAAAGTAGCCTATTGTACCCTGGAGGAGGGGGAGAGAGAGAGAGAGAGAGGGAGGGAGGGAGGGAGAGAGAGAGAGAGAGAGAGAGAGAGAGAG